ATGATGATGATGATGATTATGATGATGATGATGATGATGATGATGATGTGATGATGAGGAGGAGGAAGAGGATGAGGATGAGGACGAGGATGAGGATGAGGATGAGGTTTATGATGAGGATGAGGATGTGCATGACGATGACGAAGAAGAGGAGGAATATGAGGAGGGAAGTGGAGGAGGAGGAGGAGGAGGAGGAGGAGGATGTGGAGGGTCCGTAGCCATTTCGGCTCAAGGTGGACACCCCGAGTTGCGGGGGGGTCGACCTTAGATTCCTGCTGTGTGCGATAACCATCGAGCATCCGCTCGGGGGACGGCGCCTACGGACACCCACTACGATCCCCACGGGAGCTGCCCAGCGCCGTATGTCTCTTTCGCCTCCGTTTCGGTGTTGCGAAGTCCCATGATCAGATTGACTTGGCGGCGCTGTAGGCGCTCGACGGACGCCCCCACCTTCGGCACCCAGGAGCGAGAAGGGCTGCCACATGGCGGATGGTCCCAAGAACGCGCATGGGGAGAATGGTAGGGAAACGAGAAGGCGGAGGCCGACGACCCCATGGCAGAGGTTGCGCGCACCTTCGAAAGCACGGTGCTGATGCTCGCAGCACGGTCATGGCCGCTGTCCGGAAGCTTCAGAACTACGTGCAAAACTTCGGGAGGACGATTGCTGGCAGCCTCGACGGCTTCAGCAAACGGGTCGACGTCAGGTTCGCCGAGATGGCCACACGGCAAGATCGCACAGATGGACGAGTTCAAGTCGTTGAAAGCCGTGTTCGCGAACTCTCTGAGATGCTGCAGTGCATCAAGCAGGAGGAGCCCCAGTCCGGGCACAACAAAGAACCACAACCACAACTACGTAGATGTTGTGGGGCGGCCCTTCGGGAGGGATTCCACCGACCTCGACATAAGAACTTTGGCTGTGGGGGTTGTCGGTCTGGCGCTCCTGGGACGCCACATCGACCACATCGACCTGTGCGAAGCTGGGTTCGGTGTTTCGTCTTTTGCTGACATGCGCTAGGCGCCCCCCCAGGACGTGTCCTCGATGCGGTTGTGGTCGCTTGCTGTCCCCGCACCTAGGCCACCATCATCGACGTGGCGTTCGATAAGATGGTGGACCCGTGCATCATCATCGCCCGCAGACAAGGCGTCATCACAAAACCGGCCATCGGGAAGGGATTGCCGGACTGGCTGCAGACGGCCCAGATCATGCAGAAGACGACCAGATCGACGGCGACCCCGCAGGAAAGAAGCACACCATCCGCACCAATGGAAAAGCTACACACTGAGCCAGGACAGTTGCCCAGGCGCTCTCTGCATTGCGGATGGCCAACGGACAACGGCATCGATTCCACGCGCTTGATACCCATGGAGTCGAGCACGAGGTTTTCGCCAGCGGCGACAAAAAAACAGGGCATGTCAGGCGCGCGCTTCGTTTCAAACAATCGCGTGAAGTGCTCGAGTTTGCCAGCGGTGCATTGCGCTACTTCTCGGACGAGGCCAAAACAGATATGTCACGTCAGTGGACACCGCTCGCTGAGAGCACGGACCAGCCTGGAGACGCCCGGCTCACAATCCACTGGCGCCGTGAGGCTCGAGGCCCTCGACCTCAAGGAGGAGCAGTTGTCCGTCGCCTCCTGGCGGGGCGGCGGCCCGGAGCCGACGTCCGCCTGGTGGTCATGACTCGCTCTGTCGGCGCATGGCTCGGCCCGCGTTTTGCAGATTGGCTCCTGATCCAGACGACCTGGAACGCCCGCTCTCTCGTCCATCGTTCCCTTCCCCTTCGAGAGCAGAAACTTCGCCTCCTTCGACAACGTCTCCGCTCCCCAGGTTCCATCGTCGCGGCTCCAGAGAGTCGAGGTCGTCTGCGGGCGGTCCGGCATCTCTTGCGCATGGCCATTGATAAGCATCATGCCTCCTGCTCGCTCTGTCCACGCTCACAGGCTGGGGGGGCCACGAGGGGGCCACGGTCCGGATCCCCAGTTTTGCGCGCGCGGCTCTGAGGAGCCCCTGGCGAACGTAGAAGGCTCGGTCGCTGGGGGAGCCACTCGTGCTCATACTGAGTTTCAAGAACCCGACGCTTCGACCATCCTCTATAGCATGCCCCACTTCAGGCTGAGCGATATCGACCATAGAAGCATCACAGAAAAGGTGAACGTCGACCTTGACTATGCCGACCAGGACCTTGTCGCGGGATACCTCAACTTTGCCGCCATCCCGCCCCGGAAGAATCCTGGCGCTGAACGGGGCGAGTCGGCCCACAGAGCACTGCAAGAGCGGCGTCCACAGCAAGACCCAGTTTGGGTGACCGGCCCGATAGAGTCGTCGAGCTCGAGGCCCCAGAACCCGCCCACTTCTGCGCTCCGGATCAGGCGCGGAGCTTGATCGACCAACAAGTCGCATCGACTCCTGGGTGGATGCGCGCAACTCGGCATCTCAGGTTGCGCGGTCCAGACCCCCGAAGTTCTCGACGAGACGGGGATTTCAGATCATGCCATCTTTTAGGCCGCCCTCGCGCCGGCAGCGCCCTTCCCCGAAGGCGAGAGGCCCGTGGCGCCTGACGTCTGCGAGCGCCAGGCGCGCCGGCAGCATGTGCGGAGGATCGAGGGCGAGTGCGACCACAGCACCCTGAGTCCGCCGCGTCGTCTTACCTTCCATGCCGAGATGATGAGAGGGGCCACCAAACGTGCTCGAGGAAGAGGAGGAGGAGAAAGGGAAGGGGAAGGAGGAGGAGGAAGAGGAGGAGAAGGAAAAGGGGGGCGGAGGGGGGGCAGGAGGGGGAGGAGGAGGAAGAGGAATATGAGAAGGAGGAAGAGGTGGAGGAAGAGGGGGAGGAGGAGGAGGAGGAGGAGGAGAAGGAGGAGGAGGACGAGGATGATGATGATGAGGAGGAGGAGGGGGAGGGGGAGGAAGAGGAGGAATACGAATAATATTAGGAATAATTCAACAAGTATAATGGTACGGTTCGTAATATCAATCACGAGAAGACGAATATGTATACGAATGCGTATAGTACGACGACATTCGTTTCAGTACTAGTAAGTACGAAAAGTAATACGGTAGCATCACGCACAAGCAGACATATACTACTAAGCATAATACGAATCTCCGTACTAGTAAGAGTATTCTGACTACTATTACTTCTTCGATTACGACTACTATTGTTACTACTACTACTACGACTACTATTACTCTTAGTTCTACTACTACTACTACTACTACTACTACCACTACTACTACTACTACTACTACTACTACTACTACTACTACTACTACTACTACTACTACTACTACTTCGTCTACTACTACTTCTACTACCAGTACTACTACTACTACTACTACTACTACTACTACTACTACTACTACTACTACTACTACTAAGCATTCGGTTACTATTACGAACGGTACTTGTAATGCAAAGCACATCACAACACACGTTATCAACGACGAGTACTGCTAGTAATAACTATAACACTACGAAGAAAACGCACTACTATTAGCACGACACATTCTGAGTGTTATAACTGCTAGCAGTGTCGATGTACGGGGATGAGCGTAATAGTATTAACGACGCGAACCACAGTACTAGTAATGCAATTACGAAAATATTGCGCGTAAGATGAATATGCGTGCCACGACGAAGCATACCATTGCGCATGGAAAACAAACCGAATCGTAGTAACAGTGTTATTCTTACAAATCAGAGTATTCCACATACTACTGTTATTCGTATTCGTGCTAAACGATATTGACAAGCATGCGGCTGGTAATCAGAAGAAGGTTCATCATACGAGGAAGAAGAAGCAGACGAAACACACGACACATAATACTACTACTGCGACTAATGCTAACAGAACGGATGATACGACTACTCCGAATCATACGACGAAGCCGACGAAACATACGATTAATAAGGCAGCGAATGTTAATACGAAGAAGAGACCTAATAAACTCATACCCGTACGATTAAGAGCAATTGGGATACGTATAAGAATGTCAAGTGGCACGGGTGCCATGGCTCTTGCACAACAAGGAAGGGGAAGGAGGAGGAGGTGGAGGAGGAGGGGGAAGATGGGGCAAGACACCGCCCCTCGGGGCCCAGCAACGGTGCCCAACTCCCAAGTGGGGAAGGGGGAGGGGGGAGGTGGTGTGCGTCGCGACGCGGAATGAAGTGCTCGGGGCGGGGGGGGGCACGGAGCGGAGGTCCCACTAGGGCGTGGGGGCGCGGAGAGGAGGGGGGGAGGTGGTGTGCGTCGCGGCGCGGAATGATATGGTCGGGCGGAGGGGCACGTGTGGCGGGCTTGGGGCAGAGGGCCACGGAGCAGGGGTCCAATTGGGGCGCTGGGGGCGGGGGAGGGGAGGTGGGGGAGGTGGTGTGCGTCGCGACGCGGAATGAAGCGTTCGTGGCGGAGGGGGCAGTGGGCGGGGCTCCCACTCTGGCGCTGGGGAC